AAAACCCCTTGCCCCTTAACTCTGGGGGAACCTCCTCTATGGCCCCCATAGAGAGGAGCCCAAAAACCTCCTGTATAAGGAGATGCTCGTGAGAAGGGTCCCTGAAGAGTGACGGGGAGGAGGGGTGGGGAACAAAGAAAACTGGAGGGCGTATCCCCTCTCCACCGTGCGAAGGACCCAACAGTCCGAAGTTATAAGGGACCAAGCACGGTGGAAACGGGAGAGGCGATCCTGAAATAAATGAGATGGATCCTGGGTAGTGGCTGGTGCGCCGACCTCGGGCGCAGCTTCAAAAGTTTTGCCTAGGTCCTGAAGGTGGCCTAGGGGGGCCCTGGTTCTGACTGGGTTGAGGTCCAGTCGGCCTCCGTCTACCACCTCGTCCCCGCCTTCTGGGGAAGTCCTGTCTCGGACGAGGATAGAACCTTTGTGGCTATGGCCAAAAGGGCCTGCGTTGAGGCCCTGGGACATGCATCCCCAGGGAGCGCATGATGGTTCTCGAGTCTTTGAGGCTCTGTAAGCTAGAGTCCGTCTTGTCCGAGAACAAGCCTTGGACCTCAAACGGCAGATCCTGCAGGGTCTGCTGCAGTTCTGGTGGTAACCCCGAAACCAGGAGCCAGGAGACACGTCACATGGCTATCCCCGACGCTAGAGTCCTGGCGGCCGAGTCCGCAATGTCGAGGGAGGCCTGTAAGGAGGTTCTAGCCACCTTTTTGCCCTCCTCCACCAGGGCCCCGAACTCCTCCCTTGAGTCCTGGGGAACCAACTCTTTGAATTTACCCATGGAATCCCATGAGTTATAATTGTACCGACTTAACAGCGCCTGTTGGTTTGCGGCCCTGAGCTGCAGACCCCCCGCCGAATAAACCTTGCGTCCAAACAAATCAAAGCGCTTAGCGTCCTTTGATTTGGGCGCTGCCGCCTGCTGGCCATGGCGCTCTCTGGCGTTCACTGATGAGACTACCAGTGATCATGGTGGGGGATGCGTGTAGAGGTACTCATAGTCTTTAGAGGGCACAAAGTACTTCCTCTCTACCCCTCTGGCAGTTGGAGGGATGGAGGCCGGGGTTTGCCATAGGGCCGTAGCGTTAGCCTGAATTGTTCGGATAATGGGCAATGCCACCCGGGTTGGGGCATCAGATGAAAGGATGCTCACCACCGGGTCCTCCACCTCCGCTATCTCCTTGGCCTGTAGGTCCATATTTCTTGCCACCCTACATAACAAGTCTTGGTGGGCACGAAGATCTATAGGAGGTGGGCCTGAGGGTGTTGTACCCGCCACTGCCTCATCTGGGGAAGATGAGGAGGACGCCTCAGGGGGTAAGGGATCTCTGTGAGCGTCCGGCTCCAAGGGACTTGGAGGTGCAGGATCCCCTGCACCAGGGTCTGGTTCCTGCATGGGCGTCGGGGCCGGAGCCTCCATACCCCCTGGGGGAGGACGGGAGATGGTGGCCTCAGGAACCTTGGGCTCAGATTCAGCCGAGCAAGAGGCCGCTAGTGGAGCCCCTTGAGCCTGGTGATACGCCCAAGGGGTCCAGAAAGACCAATGCATAGGGTCTTGTCGAAGGTTGTCTGCCCCCTCCTGCCAATGACCCAAGTCGTCTGCAGCTTGACCTTGAGCAGGGTACGTTGAACGGGGAGCCCCTTCAGAAGAGTGAGATGCCAATCTCGAGGGCCAGGGCGGTGCCGAGCGTGGGTGCAGGGAAACGTCCTGGTACGGTGCCGAGCGGTGCCGATCAATCGGCGAGCAGTCTCTGCATGGTGCCGATGAACGGTACCAGGATCGAGAATGGTGCCGATATGCATGTCGGTACTGGGATCCGGATCTGGATCTGGATGACGAAGACCGTCTGTAACCTCGGTGCCGGGAGCGGCCTCGGGAATGGGAGCGGCGCTCATACCGGTGCCGAGAGCTGCGCTTTGACTCCGACCGGTATCGATGCTCGGGTCGGTGCCGAGAAGAAGACCGGTGCCGGGAGGTAGATCTGTGCCGCGAGTGGAGATCAGTGCCGGGACTGCGAGTGGCGTCGAGACCTGCTCCGAGACCGGGAGTGGTGCCGCGAGTCCACGCCCGGAGAAGGCGGCCGTATCAAGGTAGGCTTGCCCCTGGACTGTACCGTACGAAGGGCATGCGGTGCCGCGGGTTGAGAAGGCGCCGGCTCCATAAGGGCGATGAGGTCTCTCGCCGTGGCAAACGTCTCCGGTGTAGATGGGACACAGGGCTCCACCACCTGACGAGGCGGTGAGCCAGTCCGCACCGGACTCAACGGCTGTACACCCGGTGCCGGAGTCAACGGTGCTGATAATACTTGCACCCTCTGGCGTTTGGAAGCCGGGCGCGGCTCTACCACTGGTGCGGGGGGAGCCGGTGCCTGTTGGACAGCAGCGTCCTGAGTTTTACGGGGGCCTTTTATGTCCCGGAGACAGGGACCGGCACCGAGGGGCTTGCGGCAGACGCGGTGCTGAGGGGGGACGGTGCCGTGGTGCCTTTTCCGCGTCTGCCCGCGGTGCAGTACCGGAAGGAGCCGTTGGGGCACTACGCTCCGAGGCGCTCGGTGCCGGAACCTGACACGCTGAAGGAGGATCCAGGCTAAGTGCCGCTTCCATGAGGAGCTGCTTAAGCCTGAAGTCCCGCTCCTTTTTTGTCCTTGGCCTGAAAACCTTGCAAATCTTGCACTTGTCCGTTTGGTGAGACTCCCCTAAGCACTTCAGACAAGAGTCATGGGGGTCTCCCGTTGGCATAGTCCTAGCACATGTCGCGCACGACTTAAAGCCGGGAGCCTTGGGCATGAGCCCGGCTGTGCGCCGGGGGGGGAAAAAGGGGGGAATAAAGGCCCCCTTAACCCCTGCTAACTGCGAAAAACTATTTATAACTATTAACAACAACTACTAATCTAAAAAACACAATTAATAACTATCTACAAGAAGCAACGGGTAAAGCTAGGGAGAGTGGAGAACAGCTATGCCACGCTCCACAGTTCCAACGACCGTCACGGGCGGTAAGAAGGAACTGAGGGGGCGCTGGGTCGGCTGGGGTATATATCCAGCGCCATGAAGGCGCCACTCCAGGGGGCTCCACAGCCGACCCACTGGGTGTTGCTAGGGTAGAAAATTTCTCCGATGATCGAGCACGTGGTGCGCACACACCTAATTGGAATCGATATGAGCAAGCACTCGAAGAAGAAGTTAGCTTTCACTTAGCTGGCCCCCATGATAACATTCACCTTCCACTTCCAATTTTCCTCACTTTTTCCTCCCCTCTTCACCTTCCACTCTCCTCCATCTCTCTTCTTCCACTCTTGTCTTCTCCTACCTCTGTTTCTTCCCCACTTCCTCTCCCTCTTTCTCCTATCTGTACTTTTCCTTTCCTCTCTTCCCACCCTTCACCTGGCATGTTTATCTGATCTTCCTTCCCCATCGTCTACCTCTTCGCTTCTCTCTCCCTAAAACATTACATGAACAGAAATATTTTCCAATGGTTTTTCATTTAGGGAGAACCGGATGGAGGTGGGGATTGGACTAAAATGCCAGAATGCGATGCCAAACACATCATCACTGAGTTACTGCAGGAGCACTAGTCTAAACAGACTCGCCTTGTTTCACTGTCCAAAAGCCAAAGAGAAAACAAATGTCACAAAAGGTGACAGGCAAAGAAAGTTTGAAAAATAAATTATAGTGTTTAAACCTTTTGGTCTCCACCAATTTGGGCTGGATTTAAACTTGACACCTAAACAGGTGAAAGGCTTAGTTATCAATCCAGTTCTCCATGCCTCTGAAATCAGGCCCTAGGAGACCTCAAGTTGGATTCCAAAATTGAGGCATTCAGAATCAGTAGCCATTTTTGAAAATATTGTCCCTTATGATTCTGCTAGTCTCTGTGCAGTTAAGGAGCATGTGGTCACTCGTTAAATCCATAAGTCTACTGAGATAGTCATTCCCTGCCACAGTACATTCTACAGTGTTCACTCTCTGCTAAGTAAGAGCGCTGATTTGCTTACCATTATAAGGCTCGCTGATCGGGAATGTTTCTCTGGTTTCAGTGAAGGTTTGCAGACGATACTGATAAGACCAAACAAAAGTCAACTTTAATGTAAAGCTGCTTCTTATTTTCTGCTAGGAGGTGAAGCAATTCTGGGCTTAATCCTGCTCCCATTAAAACCAATGGCACAACTTCTATTGACTTCAAGGAGAATAGACTTGGTTCCTGCGCTAGGGTAATAAGAGCTGTTCTGATTTCAAAAGTAAGAGCTAGACAGAGCAATAAAATAGTTAAATTAATAAACGATGTCATTCTCCATGCTATTACTCCACAGTGCAGAGTCTGTCTGAGACATAAGTAGTCTTGATATCACAGAGACATGCTAGCATAAGGCTGAGTGGGAGTGACCTGTGCTACAATGCTAAAAGTCATTGGTGAAACTTGGTGAAGATGCACACTGGGGGGGGGTCATTGCACTAGCATAAGTCACATCAGTGTTTGTTTTCTTTGCTGCTGCCTAACCACAATACTGAGGGCAACACTCATGTCTTCCAGTCCACAGTGGAGAAATCTATGAGATCGAGAACTTTTCTGACCAATTTTACATTTAGGGAAAAATTCTCTTCTCTGGGATGTACTTTAGATTCTCTCTCTCTCACACACACACACACACACACACACACACACACACACACACACACAC